AATATATCAACACAACAATTACGAGGCCATAAAATGAGCCTCGGGGCTGGCTCAGCTGGGCTGCTCACACACAGGGTTGCACACACAGACATTTACATAGACACAAGCTGCATGCGCCTCATCTCAGAGGCCTCTTCATGGTGCAGGCACTCCTGCTTTTAAAGAAATGTTTGCTTTTGTGTTTAATCTTAAATCAGGATTTCCTATTTCATTAATGTGGGAAAAAATAATAAAAAAATATATTATTTCTGTGCATTTCAAACAGCAAATAAGTGTAAATTTTCTTTGTCTGCTGTACCCACTAAAGCACTGGTTTCTACTGGTGAGCCTCTCCGAGGAGAAGCAGCTGCTCTGATTATGTTTTGTTGGATCAAAAAACTTTAGGTTTAGCTTCTACAAAGACTGGTTTACATATACATTAATTAATTTTTTCCTCATTGGTTTCCTGTCACATCAGTTACTGTTGTTGCTTAGAAAACAGGAACTGCTACTGAGGCATTCAGGAAACATTTGTAAATTAGAACTACAAAAGAAAAAAACCTGTAAAGGGCACAGCGATAGTTTGTGTACAAAAACCTGAGCTGCTTCTCGTGGGTTTTTTTTTTTTACCTTGCTTCCAATGATCCAAAACTTCTTGGCATTTTTGTAAAGTGCTCTCGAGCGATAGTTCCCCGGCTTTCTGACTGAAGGTCTTTCAATTCATGTTGGAGATCTTATCAAAACTGATTTATAAATGCAGAAAAGTACCATCAGATTTTTATCCACCATGCAATACACAATAAAAGCAAACCTGGATAGAACATCACACGATTACTGATAGTCATGGATTGAGCTTGAACCTCAACATTATTGAAGTACATAGTCTTGACAGTTAATGGAACAGAATGCAGCCTTCTGCAGTGAAGTGTTTAAAAGCTGGATCCATGTCAGGAAAACATAAGTAAACTCTACCAATTCTGCTGCCGGTCAAATATACGACCAGAATCATACCAGAGGCTCGTTGATGGCTGCCAAAACCATCTGGTCGAACTTGCTAAGGGACACTAAGGCTACGTTCACACTGCAGGCGAAAGCGCATCAAAT